TAGAACAAACAAATGTAATTCCTAAGCTGAGCTCCCTAGACTGGACTGCTGTGTTTTCTTGTGCTTGTTTTAAAAAAAATATTTTTATTGGTTTCAGAGAGGAAGAGGGATAGGAACATCAATGATGAGAGAGAATCATTGATTGGCTGCCTCCTGTATGCCCCCTACTGGGGATCAAGCCCACAACCTGGGCATGTGACCTAATCAGGAAGTGAACCATGACTTCCTGGTTCATAGGTTGATGCTCAACCACTGACCCGCCGGCTGGGCTAGTCTGGGCTGCTTTAGTGGTACAATGTCATGGGCAGGTGGAGGTCCTCCTGACCCTTGAAGCAATTCTCTTTACTTGACTGGCTATGGCTCAAAATTAGGGCTTTCTTCCTCTGTTTATTGATTAAAGGGCTTGGTGAAAAACACATAACTCACCTCAATGTGAATTACAATAGTTTGTTTCTTCCTTTCCTGAGAGAAAATTTAATGAAAGGGGAAATAGGGTGCAAGAGATTTGGAAGCCACCAGGAATATGTAATCCTACAGTGGCTGGATACTCCAGGTTTTATACCTCATGTTCTGCCATGGGTGATTTTCCCCCCCCTCTCCTTTCCAATTACCTTTATGGTGAAGCAACTCCTTTAGGAGATCAGTGTAACTTCTAGAACAAACAAATGATTGAAATCCTTACAAAATGGGTGGATTACCCCCATCCTTATGAGTGATCCCTCGTGCTCATCCTTAGCTCTGGAGTTATTTTTGTTTTTGTCTCTTCTGCTCACAACACTTCCTTCTGTAAACGCTAGAGCACATTTAGAATCAGTAGCATTTTCAGAATTGCTCTTCTTAGGGGAGCATCTCATTTAGGAAAGTCAGTCCAGGGGCCTGTTGGGAAGCTAAGTTTGCATAGCACTTTGTATAAGACTGAGAAAGTGTCAAAAGACCATATTTGAAGTGGGGTGGAGTGAGTCTGAAAGAAATCCTCTTCTCTGGTGCCACCACTCTTTGGAATAAAGGTTCTGGAAAAGGAATGGAAAAGTCCCAGCAAAACCAAAATTGCTGGGCCTGGTGCTTTCGCAATGCCATACACTCACCACGTCTTGACCAAGTGCCCCCGGCAAGGTCATTTCAGAAACAACCGAGCTTCAGCAACTTGTCTTACCTGCCTCAGAATGACTCAGGCCTATTTAAATCTCGTGGTTGGTTAATCATTAATGAAGGTTTTTGACAAACAAAGTAGAGCAAGCCAAGAAAGAAGGGTAGCTAAAAATTAGCTCAGGAAAGGTCATATTTCTTGCAATTGCAGGGTTTGGTGTTGCTTTTGATTGTGGGCATAATCCTGTAGGGATGGAGTTGCAAGGAAATATCATATAATCCCACCGAGGAAGCCAGGGCACTTCTGAAGATTTTACGTGGGACCCTCCTCTGTCCCTGCAGTCCTCTGGAGGACTGTAGCTTTTTATCACCTTTGCTGAGAAGCCTGTATTCCTGGAGGGCTACCCGAGGGAGAGGGGGGACAGCCAGCCTGGCCCACACACGTAGCTGCTAAATGTCTCCAGAAGTGGAACCTGGATCTGAAGGAAGGTGTGGGAAACCCTAAAACCCTTCGCAGCCCCTACAGACTCTCTCACCAGATCAGGGTGGGCAGACAGCACCTGGGGCAGGAAGGCTGAAAGGAGTTGCCCACTAGGGGGAGCACTCAGACACACCTGACTGTTGGTTGCTGGACAATCAACCCCTCTGGTAAATACTGAGCGCCGCCATTTTCTCTAAGAAACTCAAAACCCTAAGGAGAAATGATTTAGAGTTCTTCCCACTTCCCTGTTCTAGGGACCAATTCCCTTTCTGCCACAGTTCACACAGGCCCATGAACCGCGTTTGACACTGAACGGAACAACGGTTGCATTTCTTCACACCCTTTCTCCTTCTCCTGGAGGCAGCAGATTTGAATATACCATGCGTTTTCCTCTGGACCTGGCACCTTTTGTTCCCCCCTTTTCTTCTCACTGGCCCTAACTCCTACTCCTCCTGTAGTCATGGCTCACAAGCCACTTCTTCCCCAAATGTTTCCTAACCTCTCGGCTAGGCCTGTGTCGGTGTCCCCAGCATTTTGTGGCCCTTGCAGCATTGTTATCACGCCTGGGAGTATCTGGAGGGCAGAGAGATCCGTTTTGTTGATCACTGTCTCTCCAGTGCCTCACGCTGTGCTGGCACACAGCTGGCACTCACACAAACATTTATTGGAATAAACAGAAACAAAAGGAATAAAAAGGGCATAAAATGAAAAGGCTTACTGGAGTTACCATAGCAGAATGCATAAAGAAGGGAGGCATATACAGAAGGGAAGTGTTTGTTGAGTGCCTACGACACACCAGATTTTGTCAAGATTCGTTAACTCCTCTGGTTTTCAACAACCGTAGGAGGTCAGGATGATTATCTCCACCAGTTGAGAACCTGGTGCTCAGACAAGCAAGGCATCTTTCCCAAGGTCACATGCTGACAAGTCAGTGGCAAAGCTGGGGTTTCACCTCCCAGGCATGCCGACTGCAAACTCAACCTTGTTCCACTAGGGCCAAGGTGTTTGCTCACAGCGCTGAGTGTTTGGGCAATCGCATTTTTTTCCAGGTGGACTGGTGTGAGGAGTTAGGCAACAAGAATATCGGGTGCTTAGGAAGGTTACACTACTGAGGGAAAAGAGGACAAAGAAAAGGCTACATCCAGTCAACACCTTAGTACTTGGAATTGGCAAACACTTTGTGGATATCTCTTGAGTCTCCTTTTATATTTAAGCCTAATCTTGCCCTTGAACTTGAGTGGTCAGAGATGGGGAATGGGTCAAGGTGTGGTAGGGCAAGGATCAAAGGGGGGTGTATCTCTACCATCCTACCTACTCAGTAATTTTTTTTAGGGTCATGGGGTCAAAATGCCATTTCATCAAAGCAGCCATGCCACATTTTGTGCCCACGGGACTATTTAAAAAAAATACCCCATAATACTTGATGTACTATACATTTCTTTTAAAATGTCAAAGGCTCTAATATCCTTACACTAGGGTCTGGTAAGCCAGGGAAGTCCATTTTAGCTGACAAAATACACCTAGCGCAGCAGATGACAGCGATGGCTGCTGGCCTGTCCACAGGGTCCTTTTTCTGCTAATTGTTTTGTCAACTAAATTAGTGCTTTTGTATGTTGTCACGATTGATACTTTTGGGATAAAAACATGCATGGGACACCTAGCTTAGTGGAGGACCCGAGGGAATTATCTCCCCATGGTCATTCTCTAGCCTCCTCCATCATCTGTGAGGGACGGCCTCACAGACAGAACGCCTTACGTCCACCAGAGAACACATGTCCAGCAGCCTCACGTACAGCTGCTGTGTCTTCGTGCTGAGAGTATGCATTCTCAGCCATTCTACCTTCAGTTCCCATCCCCCAAGAAAAGAGGGTGCATATGAAAATATACCTTTTAGCAAATAACAACAAAAAAGAAGCTACCCTTGTTAAAAAAAAAAAAAAAAAGTAATAATACATTCATTTTTTCCTTTTTCTGGGCTCTGAAGTAGGTGGGTGGCATGACTGGTTTTATCCATTTCCAGGGCCAGTGTGCCGTTAGGAAGAATCTGGGAACTGGCGCTTGAGCTCAGGTTGCAGTCCAGGTTCCTACCAGCTGTGTGACTTTGGCCAATCGAGTTGCCTGCCCTGCCTTCTTCAGAGTTTATTGAGGTCCACCTGAGCCCGGGAGCCTAACGGGTCATATAATCCATCGTAGCATTTACCCCACCTGCTACTTTTGTCTGTGTTCTCCCATAGGAATGGAAGCTCTATGGATGCAAGATTTATTTTATTTTTATTTTTGCTTTAGTTCATACTGTAGCCACTGGAGCACCTAGAACAAAGCCTACCCTCCAGGAGAGTGCAATTCACATTTTGTAGGATCGCTCATTCTTTTTCTAAGGAGACTGATCAAACGCCGTGATTCTGTAACTTGAAAGGCATCTGGGCTCTTCTCCTAGGTCCAAGCTCTTTAGTCCACAGAGCCAAATATCAACAGTACGACTGAAATTTCTTCTGAGAGCCGAATTTTTTAAACTTAAACTTCTTCTAATGCCACTTCTTCAAAATGGACTCGCCCAGGCCGTGGTATTTTGTGGAAGAGCCACACTCAAGGGTCCAAAGAGCCGCATGTGGCTCGAGAACTGCAGTTTGCCGACCAGGGTCCTAGGACAAGAAGGGATCAGCAGATCTGGTTGCCCCTGAAAATAATGCCTAGTGTTCTGTCATCTGGAAAGTTTCCAAGCCTCTTCTGCCTCTAAAAGGGCCTTTATCTTTTTAAGAGGAATGTGGATCCGGATGCTATAACTCAGGCAGTTCAAGACTAAGAAGGTAAAATTCTTATAATCAATGGCAGAACTACGGGAGGCCATATTTAGAATTCCATTGACAACCCGTCACTCTCCCTTGAATCATCTGATTGGCTCTGCTGACGGGCGCTGTCCCGAGTGAGTGATGGACTTCAGAGAAAGGGGAAGGAAGTGTTCTGCTCACCTTCTGAGCCTGTGGAAAGGAGGAACAGAAGGTGCTGGTTTCCTATGCTGTGACCCACATTCAGGCCACCCCGCGCTTTCACGAAACCACCAAATAGCTCAGTGTCACACCAACTGCCTCCACTTAGAAAAGTTGAGTGTAAAGCCTAACAGGATCATAAACTAACTTCAGTGACAGCCGTGACAGGCTCTCCACATCCTATTCCAATCCGGATGCTGAGTAGCTTCCAAGAGTTCAAGTTTGACGTAGTAATAATTCAGTTACGACTACCCCATCGACAGCGGTAATTCCGAACGAAAAGACAGGATAGCCACCTGCTGGTTTTCCAGCTGAAAGTACTGAATTTGTTCACTCCTGCAGTGGTGTTAGGGTTTTTCTAACCCTTATTTTGTTAGGAGGAGAAAAAAAAAAGAGGTTATGGGTCTCTAGTATGACATAAAGAAAACACAACTTAGAATAAGGTCTGAAATTGCTTTAAAGAAAGCTTTATTTACTACATACAGCCTAAGAATGTACTGTAAATGGAGCAAGAGCGAAATAAGTTTAAAAGCTTTTCAAATACAAAGCAACTAACGAGAAGCAAACCACTAGCGCGTTTGAAAACAGAAAACGCTAAAGCATTTTTTTTTTTTTACATTTATATCGTTTGTTCTTAACCCTAAAAAAAAAAAAAAAAAAAAAGTTCACATTTCAAGTTATAAACTTACCTCAGTAGTGTATGTGAAATGGGTTCGAAATAGAAACAGTTCTAAGAGGCTCACTGGTAGGTAGCTGGCTGTCACCAACATTTGTTTTTAAGGTAGTCTGGCGTTCGCCATGTTAAGGTATCATTTCTTTTTCCTTTCCTTTTTATAATTCTTCCCCCCCCCCCCCCAAAAAAAAAAAAAAACACAGTGTACAGGCTCATGTAAAATACAGTAAGGCCGCTGGGTCGGAGCCTCAGCCGGTGAACCTCTGTGACAACCAGACGCTGGGAGACCACTTCTTTCACACGAAGCCAACGGCTGAGGCTCTGATCCGAACAGCACTCGAGTTTGGGTGCAGCTTGCTGGGTACATCGTCAGGGACATTGCACAATTCCTTTATGTCATTTAGGAATGATGGAAAGAAAGGCTAAGAGTGTTTAAAGGCCTTTGTGAGCGCTCAGTAACCTTACACAATAAATAAATATTGCTTCTCTCTAAAAAATTCATCCCACTCTAAATTGGTAGCGGGGTAGGGAAGGGTGGGGGTGGTGCAGGATTTGGGACTCTCTTAATTTAAAATTTAAAACAAAACTAAAATATTCGTTAGAGGCATGATCCTATTATTCATCCACAAATAAGAATTCCGGCCACCAGCAAAAATTCAGCGCGTGGGAAGATTTGCTGGGTCTCTGGCATTCTATAGAAACACAACCGTGTGTGTCTTGCTAGCTATTGCACACCTCACTTTCTTGGTAGGGCCTTAAAAAAAAAGAAAAAAATTCCACGGTGGTGTATTTCATAAAGTAGATGACAATCTTAATATTGTACTGTATTTTACATTCACTCTGCTAAATAGAAGCCTTTAAACAGGCACGGAACACTGCAGCAATATATTTCCTTCCCAATAAGACAAAACGCTTAATTAGCATTGAAATAAAATGGTTTCCTTTTGCATTAAACTCTATACCATGAACTTCTGCAACAACAACAACAAAAAAACCTAAGAAGTCGCATTAGGAGATATTTACAAACTATGTCTTAACTCCTGCAGGTCTCCCCCCAACCCCTCCTCCTCCTGGGCGGGCACAGCCCGGGAGGAGAGCCCTGTCCAATAAACATACTCTTTCTAACGCCACTGGCGACCACAGACATTCTGCATGAAACACAGTTAAGGCAACTAGAAGCGTCACTCTCTGCAGCAGGAGTCTCTGGGGGCCTTGCTACCATAACATTCATCGTCTCTACAAAACTCACGCTTCAAAGGCAAATAAAATACAAAGCGTGAGAAAAGGAACTGAAGTCTTCTATCGGGCAATTAAATAGCTATGCAAAGGTGTCTCATGGAAAAACTATTAAAATCTGTGCTTACACGTACTCGGCTACTGAAAATACGTCCCCAACCAAAACCAAAAAATCCCCAACAGAAAACCCAGGAAGAAGTACAAAAGCCACCCATGTTTTCTCTACCAGCATAATTCATCTGCTCTAGACTTGCCACACGGGGAGGTGGGGTGGGTAGAATTAGCTGGGGAGTAAGTAGAAGGCAACATCAGGTTGAAGAGCAAAGACCCGGGGAGTGTGAGCTAGCCCCGGGGCACGGTGGCAGGGAGAGCTTTCCAGTGTCTGGACCCCCGAGTGTGACAAGTCTCTCCGATGCTGGCTGCGGGAGAGACCGGGCGTTGTACGTCTTTAAAAAAAAAAAAAAAATAGAAGCATCGTAGATAACCCATGGTAACCCGGGCAACCCTTAATGCCAGCACACATAGAGGTTTTACTCATTTTAAAATTGCACTTTCCAGTAATAGTTTTTAAAATAACGTCTTATGTGATAGTTTTAAAGCACTACTGTTTGTATCTTTAAATATTGAATATACTTCTCAAAATAGTTCCCTAGCTGCTCAAGTGTGCTCTTTTTTTTTTTCTTTTTTCTTTTTAAATATATAGTTGATATATTACTGAAGGTACTACAAAATAGAAATCTCTGGAGTGCAGAAGTTAAGAAAATAACCTTCATACTGAAAATATATCCTTAAAAATACAAAAAAAAAAAAAAAAAAGAAAAACACCAAAAACCTCTATACAAAAGTACTACTACAGCATACAAATTGGTTTTTTTTAAGAGATGATCTTAAGGCACGAACCATTGCAAGTCTCTTAGAAATGTATGAACACAGGCCTTCTCGGTGGAAAAAATAGTCTTAAAAAACTAGGGAAAACTTCATGTGTGTGTATAAAATATTCCAGTATGGTACTCGACTACATTCTTCACGTTCAGGTGTCATGTGTGTGCTGATCCACCACGCTCTTTCTTCATAAATAGTAAAGTGTTCCTTCAGCGGCAGTTCCGTGGGGCAGTCAGTATGTCTGGTAGATGTCGTGGATGGGGACCTGGATAGCAGCGGCGGGGAAGGCCTGAGGTATGTAGCCCGCGTATCCTCCGTAGACGGCGGCGGCCGCGGCCGCGTTCTTCTGTAGTGTGGCGATCGTGGCCGTGGCCGGGGCGGCAAATGGCACGTAGCTGGCCCCGTAGATCCCGGCGGCGGGGATTCTCTGAAGGTTTGGAGCCACCGTGTACACTGGAGTTATGGGGCGGCCCTGAGGAGGAGAAGGAAAAGAAGCCTTACTGGTCAGGGGGGCACACGTTTCCCCATGGAGTTAGTCATCCATTCATTTCACAGCTCCGTTCAATGCCCAGATGTCAAAAGAAAGGCCCCCCCGCTCTCAGGGAGGGGAGGTAGAGGAGTCAACAGAGAAAAGAGCCATGAAGATAAGGCAGAGCTGCATCTCAAGGCTCATTGGAATTCCTAGGTGAAAGTGAAAGCCAGAATGCTGAAGGAATCTGCTACCCACCATTCGCTCCATCAGCATATGCCCAGGGAACTATTAATAGAGAAGGCAGTGGAGAATCCTCCCTTTACTGCCTTGAGCTCACAGTCATTACAAATGTCCTTAGCTATGGCCGGTGCAGCTCAGTTGGTTCAGCGTTGTCCAGTGCACCAAAGGGTTGCTGGTTGGATTCCCGGTCAGGGCACATGCTGAGGTTGTGGGTTCGGTTCCTGGGGTGCTTACGGAGGCAACCGGTCGATGTTTCTCCCTTTCTCTCTCCCTTCCTCTCTCTAAAAGTCAATAAGAACATGTTTCCTCCGCTACAACAGGGACCAGCTGCCTCAATTCATACTTAACTGAAGGAACATGATATTTCAAAAGCAAAGAGAAAGGACTGACAACTTTATGGAGAAAAGTATGCCGACCCTCCAAAGAGGCAGTTTTGTAAGCTGTTCCTAAATTTTTTTTTTTTTTAATCGACCATACACAATTTGCAACAAATGTAATGGTTTTTAACCGCCTAAGGTGTACCGCCACTATACATACAAACTGTTGAAGAAACTTACAAAAGGAACCTACCAACCTGGGAAGTTGGAGGTTGTATCTCAGGAAGGATAAGGGGGAGTTTTCACGTGAACCAGGAAAAATAAGCTGACTGAAGCTGCTACCACCGACTGTAAAAGTCCCTGCTGCTTGGCCCCCTCTACCTGAAAGTATAACATACTGTGTTTTCAGAGCACAGATGAGTAGACAGGGCATACTGTGGTTCAGTATTTCCCCACGTGTTTGCTACAGAGAAGGGGATTTTGGGTAAAATAAGATACACATTTAACAAAATATCTGGAGCACCTTATCTTCCACAGGGTGCTCTGTAGCAAACGCTGCTAAGGTTTTCTGTGTCTTAATGCATCTATAAATAATTCAGGATCTAGGACATGGATAATTACATTTAAAAAATTATTTCCTCCTAGATTTTTTAAATAAAGGAATATCACTCCTTTACAAAATCTGCAAGTCAGAGTGACAAAATTATGTTCAAAGGAACTTCATAATCTCAGAGTCATTTTCCCCCCAACTGTAACCACAATAATAATTATACTAATGATGATAATAATACCCGAGAGATTGTGGTTTGCCAGACACGAGTCTAAGTGCCTTATTTGTATGACATATGGGATCCTTACGACCACTGAGGAAGCTGGGACTGGGGTTAATGGAGAGGTTAGCGTGTGCTCAGTGGCTACACAGGGAGGAAGAGCCTGGAGCGGTGGCACAGTGACTCCAGAGCCTGCACTGGAAAGCCTGCAGGATCTTGCCGTCTAACACCTATAACAACAAGCTCCTCTTTGGCAACATTTTACAACCCGGGAGAGGAACTTTGGAACTGGGAAGACTGGTTCACAGCAAGACCCGAGCAATCTTTTCCAAATGTGCAGGCATATATTTACTGACAAACGCACAAAGGGGGGTCACCGCAGGGGGAGTGACATCAGGGAGAAACCTTCCCATATGTTACAGGCCAGCCCAACACCTGGGCTCAGCAATGTGTTCCATCCACCCACCAGGAGTGTTTCAAATGCTCCTCGCTCTGCTGCGGTTTGGCAGAGAACACAGAGGGGGCGAGGACGGAGCAGGCAGAGAAGCAGGTCAAAGGCCAGAGAGGCGGGACCCGGAGCACGTAGGTTTGAGGGACAGCACCAAGGCCACGCACACCCAAAGGAGCCATTCCCCGGTTAAAACAGTCAGTAGCACCAGGCATTCTGCAGAATACACTGACGGAGGGAAAATCCTCCAAAGGAACCAACTGATTAATGCTTGTACATCGAGCAGATTCTTAAGCAGAGACATCAAATAAAGACCCTGAAGGCGACATCCAGTGCTGAGTGACACGAGAGAGCAACAGCGTGCTAGTCGACATGCATGTGAGGTCTGGAAATCTGGGCCTGACCAGAACCGATGCTACATGCCAAAGAGACGTTCATGTGCTTTAGTTTTTGTTTTTAATATATTTTATTATTTTTTATGGAGAGGAAGGGAGAGGGATAGAGAGTTAGAAACATCAATGAGAGAGAAACATTGATCAGCTGCCTCCTGCATACCCCCTACTGGGGATGTGCCTGAAACCAAGGTACATGCCCTTGACCAGAATCGAACCTGGGACCCTTCAGTCTGCAGGCCGACGCTCTATCCACTGAGCTAAACCGGTTTCGGCTCACACGTTCCTTAATAAAGAGGAATTAGAAATTACAATAATTCCACTAAGTGTCACTTGTAGGTTACTGTAGATATTCACAGTTCTCAAGAAGTATCGACACTTGGCTGTCACTCTACTGCCTCACAAAGAATAGCTTTAACAAGACTTGAATTTCTGATTGGATAAATGGCTGTCTTTCACTGTGCTATGCACTGAAGAGATAAAGAAATGTAAGATGTAGCCCTTGTCAGGAGGAGCCTAAGGATATTTATTCTATTGATTTTTAGAGAGAGTGGAAGGAAGTAGGGTGGGGAGGGAAGGAGTGAAGTAGGGGTAGGAGGGAGGGAAGAAAGGAGGGAGAGATTGGTTGCCTCCTGCACATGCCCCCCAACTGGGACCAGGGACTAAACCTGCAACCCAGGAACATGCCCTTGACCGGGAATAGGCAGTCTGAAGCTCTAACCACTGAGCAAACCAGCCAGGGCTGGAGGAGCTTCATTTTAATTGGGGAGATGGAACATACTGGCAGGCATATGCCAAGTAATGCTGTAGGTAACGAGACTTCCAAGGCCAGGTGGACGGGGAAGATGCTGAAATGAGATGAGATGGAGGAAGCTGCACACAGGGGAACACTGTGAGCAAAGTGGGGGGAGGTGGGTGAAAGGTGAGGTGGATTGGGAGAGATGTGGGAATAGTAGGATATGCTTGGAGGAGATGATTATGGGCAGATTGTATGAAGTTTCACATATCTCTACCTCTACAGGTTATTTCTCTCTTCATGTACACGCGTGCTTATATATGTATATAAATGTACATATTTATACCCAGAGAGGTTTAAAAACAAAATTCTTCATTGAACTGCAATTCGAAATGTGAAGCTGGGAACTATTCCCTGACTCTGGCACCTTAACAAAAAACATGAGTTAAAAATTATCGTGTCGCCCTAACTGGTTTGGCTCAGTCGGCCTGCAGACTGAAGGGTCCCAGATTCGATTCCTGTCAAGGACATGTTCCTTGGTTGCGGGCTTATCCCCCAGTAGGAGGTGTGCAGGAGGCAGCTGATTAATGTTTCTCTATCATCGATGTTTCTGACTCTCTATTCCTCTCCCTTCCTCTCTGTAAAAATCAATAAAATATATTTAAAAAAAAATAGTAAGCACAATATTGTGACATTGAAAAATTACATGGCATGTGTGTATATTGCTTCCCATCTTTCACACAGTGGTAACAGCAGAGCAATGCAATAGTTATTGAAAATTGTTCTGTCCTGCCATGGTTTATGTTAAGAGTTTTTTTTTCTGCCACCTGATTCCACAGTTCCAGCAGAGAGCGAGGCACCCAATGAACTCCCCTGCGGAACAGGAAGCGAATCCGTGCGAAGGGGGCCTCCCACCGTGCACAGGGGCGGCGGCAGCGGGAACCGTTACCTGGAAAGGCGGCGGCGTTGTCACCGCGGGGATGACGGCGGCGGCCGCGGCCGCGGCTGGGTCCGGCTGCACGGCGATGGGGCTGATCATGTGCTCCATGGCGTGGATTTTGCCATCTTCAATCATTTTAGGGGCGGGAGCCGCCTGGAACATGGAATACTGGGCCCCTATGGCAGGGATGGCCACTGCAAGAGAAGGAAGAGGGAAACGGGTGCGTCACTGGGCCGGCACTTTCTTGATGTTTTTTTTTTTTTTTTTTTTAAACCAAGTTTGGCAGCTGCTAACGTATGCTTTCTCAGCACCTGCTGTCCCCAGGCTGCTTTATGGAATCACAGAAAGACAAGGGCTCTGTTTTACAGTGATGATGACATCAGGGGCATTTATCCGGAAAGCCAGGCTGAGGAGTCGCTAGATTGCAGAAATCGTAGGATTTTTCTCGCAGGCCCAAACCAACAAAAAACAACAGATATACGTACATTCCCTCCTCCAAAACAAAAACCCAAACCATAGCACTGAGTTAAATTCAAAAGGACGTTCTACTGGGAAAATGCTTTTAAGCCCTCGCCGGCCTATGCGAACCTTCTGCTCCGCAGGCTCTGTTAAGGGAAATCAGAGGAGCTGGACTTCAAAGTGAGGGGTCTCTCTAAGAGCTCTCCCATCTCCCCTCAGGGAAACCAGGAAGCGGTCTGGAGGAGGATCCCCCGAGGACCCACTCCCGGCTCTTGGCAGTGCTAGTGAGGACTCTGTGCTGTGCTCACACGCTGGAGTTAAATAAAGTTCCATGCAGGTTGGGGCCAGAGAGACCTGTCTCACCAAAGGGCACCACAACACTGGCAAACTGGTCTGAGAGGCCTGGAGGTGAAGGCAAAGTTCAAGGTTCCTGGCTTGAATCCCCCGAGCTCCCCTATGCCGATCTCTTGATCCAGCGAGAGGAAGAAATGAGTGCAAGGAACTGGAATCCGGGCAGTTAGCAGCTGCCTTGTTCTCTAGTTCCCGGGACCTCCAGGTTGGTTAAGTCCATGAAGAGGGACAAATAGTGCTAGTGGCTCCAGAAGGGGGGATTTTCTACAATTCTCAGAATGGCAATAAGCTAGCTTGCATGCACCCTCTGGCTTCCGATGGCTGGAGTAGAAATGGGATTTAGTAAAGGAAAAGGCAGTGCTTAGCTGATAGAGGATGTAGAACAGCCTCATATTCTCCCATTATCCCCCTCCTGCGCCCACAACTCTGCCGACTCAGTCACAGATGGAGGAAAAGCCTAACAACGGATGACACACACTTGAAAAACCCATTACTGGGAGGTTGGACTTGAGCTAGACAGTCCTGTTACATTCCAGGCGAAGAACAGCCAGGTGGCCACACGCTCTGCCTCGCCTCTGGCTGCCCACGAGAGGAGACACCCACGTGCAGGAGCCCGGGGCAGGCGTGGGGTCGCTGCAAAGAGGGGGCTGGGGTTTAGGCGGAATGGATGCATTCTCGCTCTCACGGATACTGACCTGCACCGGGTTTAATGGCAACGGGGTTGACCGTAGAGATTTCCAGATTCGGTACAAGTTCAAATCCTTTTTCTTGCTGCTTTCCTTTCCCTTCATGATATCGGCTATATATGCCACGGCCAGCAGAGTATCCCCCGAGGTAGGAACCCCTGGGCCCTGGGGCTCTGTTGCCAGCTGCGCCTCGGCCCCGGCCTCTTATGCTGCCTGCTTATGATGACAACACAAAAAAATGATGAGCGACCAACAGTGACAGCACAGGAGGTAGACGTTAACTCAAGGTGCTTAGCGTTCAGATGCTTGCTCCGCGTCTAAGCGGCAGGGGGCTACCCCTTCGGCTGTTCTACGAGCTGGTAAAGATAAGGACAATTATGTGAGACCATAATCAATAAAAATAAATTAATTAAAAAAAAAAAAAGATGCTTCCAACATTCTCCTGCAGCCTAGATGCCTATCCTACGTAAGCCTGCAGGGCGAGCTCCTAGGATTGCAACTGTCACCTCAATAAAGGAAAATGCCATAGATTGTAAAAAAGAAGTGAGAACTGGAAGGGAACTGCTGGCTTATCTTCCTCATTCTAGGCGTGAGAAAAGCGGCTAGGGAGGTGGGAGAGACTGACTGAAGCCACAGAGCTGGCCAATCCGGGGGCAGGACCCAGCATCTTGGCATTCTGTTTCCCGGTGGAATGCTTGGTTTTTACAACCCACAACGCTGTGCCCTCTACCCCGCAACATTCTAAAGACAGAATTAAACAGGCAGATCTTTAACCTGAGTACCTGCAGTCTAGACACCCCCCCTCCCCCACCCAACTGGATAGGTCCCAGACAGACAGCATGCCACAGAGCTTGTATGCCTCTCCCGCCTTGATTTTCCTGCTCACTCCATGCACAGGAACCTTTCTGCATGCCTCTCCATGCTACACAGGTGCCAGCAAAGACCAGAACCCAGAATGACACCCAAAGGAGCGGGTCTCTCTGTGTGTGTGCGCGCGCGTGTGTGCGCGTGTGTGTCAGCATCCACCAGCTCAGTTGCAGCCACAGCCCCGCCTAGCAGACATGCATGGCTCTGGGGGGATTGGGGGCGGGGGGGGGGAGACCTACCCAGGAGCACTGCCCCCACTAACCTTTCACGAAGTACTCGCGGTTGGGCCCGATGAGCGCGTTGTAGGGGTAGCCGTAGTAGGCCAGCGTGTAGGGGTCGCAGGAGTACACGTAGCCGGGCTGCTGCAGGGCGGCCGCCTCGGCCCCGCCGCCACCGGCCCCGCCGCCGCCGCCCTTGGCCGCCTTCTGGTAGCGCGAGTACTGCTCCTTGTCCACCGGCTTGGCCAGCGTCACCTCGAGGCACGAGCCCTCCAGCTCGGCGCCGTTGAGGCGGCCCATGGCGAGCACGGCGTCCTCGCGGCTGGCGAAGTGCACGAAGGCGTAGTCGCGGATCTTCTTGACGCGCTCCACGCAGCCCGGGTTGAACTGGCCGAAGGCGCGGCGGATGGCGTCCTCGGTGGTCTCGATCATGAGGTTGCGCACGTAGAGGATCTTCACGGTCTCCATGACGTCCTCGTCCACGTCGATCTCGGGCTCGGCCCAGTCCACGGCGATCTGGTGGCCCCAGAGCTGGATGCGGCCCGGCATGAGCTTGCGGCGCGCCATGGCGGCCGCGCGGTGGCTCTCGTACTCGACGAAGGCGAAGCCGCGGTTCTTCATCTTGTCGGCCGCGCTGGCGTACACGATCACGTCCAGCACGCCCTCCGTCACCTTGGCCACCTCCTCCAGGATCTCCTCGCGCTTCTTGGTCTTGGGGATGCCGCCGATGAAGAGGCGGCAGTTGTCCACGCTGCCGCACACGCCCAGCAGGCGGCCCGGCCGGATCTCGTGGTTGTTGAGCTCGCGCACGGCGCGCTTGGCCTCCGCCTTGTGGCAGTAGGTGACGAAGGCGTAGCCGCGGTTGCGGCCGTCGAAGTCCATCATGAGGCGCAGCTCGTAGATGCGGCCCGCCGTCTCGAACACGGGCACCAGCTCGTCCTCGTACACGTCGCGCGGGATCTTGCCCACGAAGACCTCGCAGCCGCGCGGCGGCGGCGCGCCCTCCCAGCCGGGCGGGGGGCCGCCGTACTTGCGCTGCCCGTTCTCCTGCGCCATCGAGTAGCCCGTGCGCTCCAGCAGCGCCAGCAGCGCCGCCTCGTGGGGCGCGCCCGCCACGCCCTCGGGGGCCGCCCGGGCCGAGGACGAGGTGGAGGAGGAGGAGGAGGAGGATTCGGGCGCCGCAGGGTCGCTGCTGCTCATGGCGGCGGCGGCGGAATCTTCGGCAGTCATGATGTCAGAGGCATCCACGGCTGCTGGGAACCTGGAGAGGGAGGGGAAGGCAGAGGGAAAGGGGTGAGCATCTGCACCCAGAACCTGACTCTTCCATCTCCCCTTTCTCCCCTCTTTTTTTTTTTTTAAAAAATATATTTTATTGATTATTTTACAGAGAGGAAGGGAGAGAGATAGAGAGCTAGAAATATGGATGAGAGAGAATCATCCATCAGCCGCCTCTTGCATACCCCCTACTAGGAATGTGCCCGCAACCAAGGTACATGTTCTTGTTCGGAATCGAACCTGGGACCTTTCAGTCTGCAGGCTGACGCTCTATCCACTGAGCCAAACCCAAAGGGCCTACATCCCTTTTTTTTTTTTTTTTTTTAAGTCATACAAAGCTCATGCATGCTTCACCATCAGGTGGTTTTATAGGGGAAACAGCATGGAGACCCGCTCTGGAAACACAACAGCTTGTTTAAGATAGTCTCATTCGTCAAGGGGTGGTATTGCACGAGAAAAAAACAACAAAACAAAACAAAACAAAATACAGAAGTGACTCGGAAAAACATTCAGAATGAATGAGCAAGTGCTTCCGCTTTCACCAGCTTCGAAGCGGGAACCTGCTGTAATGGGTCAGTGAACATCTCACATTCTTGCAGCACATGGCAACATCTTTGGCTCCATTCCTGCACTGTCCTCTCAGATCGGTTTCCCTTCAGGGATAGCACTTCACCCACGTTTATTTCTTTGGCAGATAAAGCCTCTCTCTCTCTTTCTTTCTTTCTAAAATATATTTTATTGAGAGGAGTGTAGAGGGATAGAGAGCTAAAAACATCGAAGAGAGAGAATCATTGACCAGCTGCCTCCTGCACACTCCCCACTGGGGATGTGCCCGCAACCAAGGTACATGCCTTTGACCGGAATCGAACCTGGGACCCTTCAGTCCGCAGACCGACGCTCTATCCACTGAGCCAAACCAGCTTCGGCTTGCTTTCTTTTTAAAATAGTCTTTTTCATTTGGGAATGGAAATAGAGCAATGGATTGACACTGTGAAGAAAAACTTTTGAGGTGCTACACAAGATAGATGCAGAGCTGTGTGCTGAAGCTCTCCACAAGGAGACTGGGACCATTCACATGGCCAAGGACTTGAACGTTGCAAGTCAAGCAGAGCGGCTCACTGCGACTTGAATGGTACCATTCAAGCAGAAGTCCTGGATTTAGAATCAGTCCTCAGAGAGATCAAGCTCAACCCGGGAGACGTGTGAAGCAGCAACTAGTTGGTAAGTTTCTCTAGTTTTCAGAGCAGTGTCACATGCACTACCTTACTTGATCTTAATCGCCTTACACGGTAAGTGATATTATCATTAGTCCCAATTTGTCTGTGGAGAAGTAAGCTCCCAGAGGTTGAGTCAATTGCCCATTTCACATAGCAAGTACCAGCTAGTACCAGGACTCGATGCCAAGTTGTCTGGCCTCAGATCTGTGTTCTTCTAAACACCGGTGCTGTGCCCTGGCCTGCTTGGCTCAGTGGACAGAGCTTCAGCCTGAAGGGTCCCAGGTTCGATTCCGGCCAAGGGCACATGCCTGGGTTGTGGGCTCGATCCCCAGTAGGGGATGTGCAGGAGGCAACCAATCAATGATTCTCTCTCATCATTGATGTTTCTAACTCTCCCTCCTTTCTAACTCTTCCTCTCTGAAACCAATAGAGAAATATTTATATTTTAAAAAATAAACCAGTGCTCTGCAATACAACTTTCTTGTGGTGATGGAAAAGCTGCCACTAGCCACCTGTAGTTATTGAGCAATTAAAATGGGGCTAGGATGACTGACAAATTGAACTTACCATTCTATTTAATTTTAACTAATTTGGAATGAAACACAATAGAATTAATTAATTTAGAATCATATATGATAGTACAGGTCTAAACTGTGCCACCTTCACTCCTACAACTCAGGGGTCTGTGGAAATTATATATATTCCTCACCTAAGGATATTTTTCCATTGATTTTTAAAGAATGGAAGGGAGGAGAGACAGAGAGAGAAACACTGATGTGAGAGAGACACATCGATTGGCTGCCTTCCACATGGGCCCAGACCAGGACTGGAGATTGATCTTGCCACCGAGGTATGTACCTTTCACTGGAGTTGAACCCGAGACCCTTCAGTCATGTGTTGATACTCTATCCACTGCGCCAAACCGGCTAGGGCATGATTTTATTTTTTATTGCTTTTCTCAGTATAAATGATTTTAAATTACACAATAAGATTATCACTAGGAGTTGCATAGTGTAGGTGCCTTTAATGAAAAACTGTGATTGGTCTTTTGAAAAATGAAGTTATTTCATTTCTTGGACTATAAAAGTATTCAAGTAAATTTTATGGACTATCGAGAAAAGTAAATAAGAAAATCATTCCTAATTTTGCTACTCAATGATAGCTAAAATAAAACTTATCTTTTTTTTAAGATAGTTTTTTGGGGGTGGGTTTTTTTTTTCTGTTTGTTTGTTTGTTTGTTTGTTTTTTGCTTCTAGCAAATTTATATACTGCATTTTATAAGCATTCCTTCATGGTTTTAAAACTCTTGATAAAAACATAAAAATTAATGGCTGCTAAGGTTTCATCATTTAATAAAGACCCGTAGCATCATTAAATTTTTTTTTTTTAAATCTACCACTAGGAATTATATACAAGAGTATTAAGGGAAATTTGAAGGATAATTAAATTTATCTAAAGAAAAAAAAGCAAAACACATTATAATGACACAACAGAAATCAGCATGGCTCAGTGACTGAGCGTCGACCATGAACCAGGAGGTCACGGTTCAATTCCTTGTCAGGGCTCTATCCCCAATGGGGGTGTGCAGGAGGCAGCTGACTGATTCCCTCTCATCGTTAATGTTTCTATCTCTTCCTCTTCCTTCCTTCTAAGGGAGGGAGGGAGGGAGGGAGGGAGGGAGGGAGGGATCTGAGCTGTTTACTTGCCAGTTGGCCAAACCAATACTTTCCTGGCTTATTTGCTGTAGCATCTAGATCCAGTTTAGTTTAGTGGGGGAAGTGTGGCCTCCTGAGCTGACTGATGCTTGTGTGTGAATCCCAGCTTTAGCAGTTCCTAGTTGTATGACCTGGGGCAAGGATACTCAGCTGCTCCATGCCTCAGTTTCCTCATCTATAAATGGGGATACTGATGATGGTATTAATAAAGTTTAGAAGAGTGATAGTATATACAAAGCACTCTTAATTGTGCTCAGACCATTGCAGATGTTCAGGAAATGTCATCTTTCACCCAAACTTCTGGGTAAAACTTCAGACCAATTCTCTTAATTTTAGAGGAATTTGGACACTTTCCCGGTTCTTTAAAAACATCTGTTTGATAAGGCTTCTGTTCTTACTTTTTAATTTTCTTTGCTCTTCAAGTGCTTGGAAGCTGGTTTAGCAACATATCTAGTTATCATGAAGGATTCTGTTTTAGTATTCATTTGAAAATGAGATGTTAATTCCTCTAGTTTAAAGTTGAAACAAAAATTTCAATATCAGATTTGAATATGAAAGTCTCTTTTCAAATGGAAGGAAAGGGCATGTTCTTAAGAATACTGTTTGTATAAACACAAGTGTGTTTATAATCTTTGCCTCGGGGAAGAAATGCTAAGTATATATTATAAACATGAATGAGGCAATTCAAGGTCTTATGTGTTGCATTACTAAAATACTGACTAATGGCCAAAGGAATAAGTAGCCCCTATCACTCTGCTGAGCTATGTGGAGTTGACTTTTTGTTTTCTTAATTGTACTTGAAACTACCATTTAACAAAACAAAACAAAACAAAAAAGTCTTATAATGGTCAGGCTATGGGAGTTATTTTCAATTCTAAAACCATTAAATTCACCCCAAATTCTGTTTTGTTTTCAGTCTGAAATACGCTGGAATCAGTAACCTAATCATTTTATTTAAAATAGTTATAGCGTATTTCTTACATCTTTGAGCCAAGAAAAGCCTTTGCCTGCCCTCCTGAACCTACGTCATCTGGAATAAATGAATCACGTTACTGGCCTTTTTCCCCTTTTTTCTTTGGCTATTAGGAAGGCCAGGACTGAATTTGTACTTCAGTTTTAATAACTGTATAGAACATTATGACACACTCTCATGCTCATCTAATTTCAGCTACAGTTGTTTTTTTTTTTTTTAGCCTTCTATAGTCCCAATGCCAGGAATTTACCTATTTATATTATTAACCTTGTTGTTTACATGTTCTTAGAAGCCATGTCACATCATTTGGGAGCTAGGAGAGGAATAAATGCACACACACAGACCTCATTTACACCAGATGTTAATTAATGTAGTATCTAAACTATTACATTAACTACAAACATTGACATGAAAACAAGTGAGAAGCACAGTGAGATACAATTTAGCATGGCTATTATTTAAAACAAAATACATGCTGCCAAGAATGTGGACAAATTGGAACACTTGAGCATTGCTGGTAGGAATGTAAAATGGTGCAGCTTTAGAAAGTAATATGGTGGTTCCTCAAACACTTAAACATAGAATTAAACATACAATCTACCGGTTTCACTTTGGGGTATATGCCCAAAAGAATTGGAAACTGGAACTCAAACAGATATCTGTACACCAGTGATCACAACAGTATTATTCACAATAGTCAAAAGGTCGGGGGAAAAATGTCCATGGCCACTTGAATGGATAAACAAAATGTGGCATATGCACTGAGCAGCCAGATTATTATGATGTCTGAATGCATAACCTGGCTACTCGGTGTATGTCCTATATAATAAAAGGCTAATATGCAAATTGTCCTCTTGACCAAGAGTTTGACCAGCAGGCAGGCTGGCCAATCACCCATGTCCCCTCCCCCTGGTCAGGCTGGCTGGACCCCACTCATGCACGAATTCATGCACTGGGCCTCTAATATACATATAGATCATAATAATCTGGCCACTCAATGTATACATAATGGGGCATTATTAAGCTTTAAAAATAAAGGAAATTCTGACACATGTTATAACATGGATGAACCATGAAGATAT